ACTAAGGCGCAAGCCCCTTGGTTGGTTGGTTTCCTTTCCGACATGAATCGGTACAAATTCTTCGGGTTTGCCAGGAGTTTTTTAGCAAGGTTAGCCTGGAATGACCTTCTGTCCCTCCTGACTCTTGCATTGCACCGGTTCCTGAGTTCCAGGTATGCATCATGGTCGATCTGGCTTCCAGATACGCGCCACGTAAACCAAGCCTTCCTCTTTGCTTGCAGAATACGCTGCGTGCCTCTCTTTAACCATGATGATTTTCTTTTTGGCTGTGCTGTGACTAAAGGGACGGTATCCGAGATCGCTGTATGAATAATCTTTTTTACCGCTTCCCAGTGTTCATCCACAGACAGCTCATCCCATGCTAGGGGCCAGTCTGCATCGAACAAGAGCCTCCGCATTTCAGCGTAGTCAGCCTTGCTGTAACACAGACATGGTTGCGTAGCGTCCCACTGCAAGTGCTCACGGAGCACGAGGTCGAAACCTATGACTGCATGGTCACTACTTCCTAGAGGAGTCATGACCTGGACCTTTTCGACGACTAGTTGGTCACTAGTTAGAATGTAGTCTAGTTTTGATGACTTTCCACTAGGGCCCCACCTAGTGTCGTCTCCAACGTTCTCAGTCAGTCCCGTGTCCCGAATAGCTTGCAGTAGATTTCGGCCGAATTTTCCCTTAGCATACCGCGAGCCAAGGTTCAGTGATGGGGCATTGAAATCTCCAGCAATGGTGATTTGGTCATAGCCCAAGTCTCGTATCCCTGTGATAGTGCTGAGCAGTAGCTGATTGTGCTCTGCCCCACAGGTGGGAGATCGGTAGATGCCACCAAGTAAATGCTTGGTGTGGCCTACGGTGAAATGACACCATATGGAGTCTGGGAGTTCAATAAGTGGTGGGTCCGTTGCGCGAACACATTTAAGTTGCCTATCAAAGTATATGGCAACTCCCCCTCCTTCCTTATTGTCCCTGTCTCTCCTGACCAAAACCATATCACCTATACTGATTTCATTATCGGCGATAGTGGGGGTTAGCCATGTTTCGGTGAGAATGATTATTTTCAGTTGTTGGTGTGCTTGGAGATTTCGGAGTTCACCTATTTTTACTCTCAGCCCCCTCACATTGCTATACAGGCAGCTGACAGTGAGTCTTACAACCTCAGCGTGTTGTGGGGTAGTTGACGTGAAGCTATCTGCTGGTAGGGAACTTAGTGTTGGGACTAATTGGCCAGTTCCGATGGAACCGGCCCATTGTGGTTTTTTCCCTTGGATTTAGGCAGGACACTTGGGTGGCACAGACTGTTATTCTCAGAACTGCATCGCTCGAGTGTCACTGAAGCTTGGGGACGTATTAAAGCCTCAGTTTGCTGCCTCCTTATGGTTCGAGGTCTGCTTTCGCAACATCGGATGTTTCCTCCCAATTTCCCCTTGATCTCATACCACCGTTGAAGTGTTATGGCCAACTGCTCTGGGGAGTTGAATGTGACACTAAGCAGCCTTGGGGAGCTAATCAGTGTGAGATGAGCGGGGCGAGGTAGTCGGTAAACGGAGATGGCTCCAGAAGCGCCAAGGGCCATCTGAGACGACAGCCATCTCCACTGCTGTACGTCATGCATGTGTTTTTCACAGGCAGTGCCCGTTTCCAGCTCCGGGACACCGTGCACTACCATAGAGGTGGAAGGCAAAAGTTCCGGTGACTCCCTTGCCATTTGTCTGACAGCCCATGGTCTGTCTTGTCTCACCCTTATGTTAGAGCTTCTGTCGATGGCTAGTACCTGAGCCATCAATAGTACCTTTTCGGCCTCTTCGGCAGAGTCCAGTGTAACCCGTAATGGGGGTGGCTTACCTTGAGGTGTGTGGACACCCCTGTACAGCCTGCACAATTTCACTGAACTAATATTCAGACCTAGTTTATTGCACAGGTTGGACCACTGTTCCTGATCAAACAGGGCCCGCTGTTCAAGCAAGCTGTCCTTGCTCACAGGTACGTTAAAGAGGATGAGCGAATTAGACCGATTAACCTCAGACTTAGGTTTGGCCTTTGGCTTCTCATATTCCTTTGCAGCATCAGCAACTTTAGGCTTCATCGGGTTCTGACCAGCCTTTATTGTGTTGCCAAGCTTGCTTGTGGATGCAAGTGGTGCTTCTCTAACTCTATCTTTCCTTGATTTTTTAGGTCCAGCCTTATGAATCTTCACCTTGTGAAAATTGGCATTTTCGGTCAGTAGGACAGGAGTGTCCTTCTTACTGTCTGTGCCAAGTTTTGGCAATGTGACGTTAGCAGGTGGGGAGCTACATAAGACCGTGTTGGGACACAAGGGCGGCGTGTTGTTTCTGCTAACCGCAGACACGCTCTGTGTGACTACACCAGGGCGACAGAGTGGACAGATGTACCAAAACCACGGGCATGGGTTATTTCTCATAAACTCGTAGTATGATTTCGGTACCTCTTTGTCGCAACGGCAGTGCACCCACCGTTTGCAAAAATTGCATTCAAAAGCTGAGTCAGCTTTAGAAACAATGATATTGCACGCCTGGCACTCGTCTCCCTTACTTGGTGACGCCTTCGAGGTCTTATGACGTCTTGAGCGTTTCCTTTTAGGTTTGTTGTACTTCACACATTGGCTTTCAGTTGGTGCAGGTGTAGTAGTATCCTGTCCTACTAGTATTGCCTGAGCCGTTTCAGTACTAGACTGTGGCACTGCAGGCATAGTATCCGGACAGACGAGTCCTACACGGGTCTTTAGGATGGGTATGCAATTTGGGGTTGGTGTCCCTGCATTTTTGCCTTCTCTGGCTGAAGCCCTTGTGACTACAGAGTAAGGTGTTTTGGTGCCATTTCTAAGGTTACTTTCTACAGCCATATTAACTATCGCTAAAACTTATGCTGTATAAGAATAAAAGTGCAACAGTATCTACCCACAAGAAAAAGATTAAGACTGAAAAAGTACAAGACAAGGAAAAGAAAAGGTTTTCGACTTTACCTAGTACTTTCTGGATGATCGGCTTCACAGCAATCACGTGGTAGACCAACAAGTCTTGTTTATCTGAACGAGTGGGGAAGATGCTGCTACAAAAATAGCACCTGAAGCTTTGGCAGTAGTTCGAGACAGCTGGACTTACCACACAGAGATTCGATATGTAAGTAATGGTTGAATTTAATTCACCGGCTAGGAAGATCAGGTTTCCCAAGCGGATAATTCAAAAAATAGGTATTTTCCGGTTAGAGAGGAAAAGTCACGTCGTATTCAAGGAGCGCGCGTTGTTTGTTTGACTTGATATCTAACTCATCGGTAGTGTGGTCCACTTTTCATGGATTGACAAATACGATCCATAATAATCTGTCTACTAATTACGAACCAATTTACATACCAGGACTCTAAGAATTCTCTGACGTTCTTTATGCTTAGTCTTTCCGAGATGTTTCACATTAGGTGTCACACTATTGTCCCGTCTGAAGCAGAGACTAATCCCTAATGCTATTTTTACTTCTTCTCCAAGAAATTCGTACCCGTAGTTTGGAAGTCAGTGAAAAATACGCGTTAGTCCATTTTGCGACTCAGGAATATAAGTTAATGGTTGAAACAGTAGAAATCATAGAAGGGACAATGCTTTGTGTTGGGTGGAAATTCAGGTAGCCCAGTGATTCGAGCAGACCCCTAGTTATGCACATGTGGATATAGATCAAATTTACCAGTATATCACAGTAGCATGAGAATGAACACAATGACTTGACACAGTCATGAGAAATCTACAAGTACAACTAATCACAGTGGAGGTCACCACGATTGAAAAGTGTTCTATCCATTGTTAACTCCAAAAATTAATTTGAAAATGAAAGTGACACTGAAGATATTAACTAGAAGGATATTAGAATCTCCGCAATCTAACCATCCGGATCGGAGAACACAACGGCATCGAAAACACCCACCAGAACCTCAAATCCCTTTCACTACTTCAAAGTCTTATGAGTAGCCTCAAAATATATTTCGAATCATTCACTCTATCTGTCTTAGTTTTCGCACCAAATTTAATCCTGAGGATGGATTTACTTTCAGAACATCTGCCTATTTATGCTGTAGTTGTTTCAGTCAGGTAAATAAGAATGTGACCTTAAGAAAAAGATCATTTGCTTTTACATCTTGTTGAAATATCTAACCCTTTCAAGATTATAAATCTCTCCTGCCACTAGTGTCTGTTTTAAAGTTGCTCGTAACTCACAGATATATTAAATTTACTATTTCACCACTGAATGAGTGTTCAAACATTTAAAGACCCTTTGTAGCGAGTAAATCGAATCAATTTTCCGAATCAAATCGTCAAAGTTATCACAGTTCTTCCATCCTACTTCTGCTCTCTGTCATTTAAAATCTGAATGACCAAATAATATTTTTCAAATACTTAAATCAGTTAGGAAGTAAGAATTTGTTCGAGAAGTCATATTTTTGAAAGCTAAACTTTGAAACGGAATTAATGGAGAATTGGACTATTTTCAAGATTTGTTTCATACTACTATCTAATATATCAGTAGTTAAAAGCTATGATAATGCTGAAAATGATAATGCCCACGCACTTCTCATCTATCTATGGGAAATGGCACTACTCATTGAGACGAATGAGTACTCACTCATATTAATCATACTCACTCACACTCCTACTACTCATATTAATCAGACATACTGAGTGCAACACACTGCGCTTACCTTCTTGGTATCGTTAGCGAAATGAAAGGGTGTTCGTATATTCCGACTATTTTGATAAGTGTAGTAAGTTTCGAGTTGTCACTGTTTATGATTTACAAGTTAGAATAAAATGGGTCTTTGTTATTCTTCAATGGCGATCGAAATCATCTTCCTAAAAAACACCCTAATGAATAATGTGAAACCATCAACATACAATGTATAACTATCGTTTAGGAAACTTAAGAATATTACTAATAAAATGATTAAAACATGGAGTACACAATTAAATAATAAGTGTATTTGACCAAATTTTCAAAGTTGAATATTTCCATAAAAGTTATTTTATAAACATTTAAACAAGGATGTATATTGTAAATGTTTACTCAGAGATTTAAGTTTCAAATAAATGGAATTCATGAATGCATATATGTATATATATAAGAAGGTAAAGAGTAATCATATATTTAGCGGTAAACAGAATCAAATCACAACCATTCATAAATAATGCATTATTTCTTTTAATTCAAGCATAAATATCTTTGGCGGTAAATTTGAATAAAATGGTACGAAGAATTATATCTAAATGGTACAACAAGCTGCTTAGCAACTGAAATGAAAATAATTGCAGTAAACATTCATTATTTTTACTATTTATCCTTATGTGTTGAATAAATGTAGACGATAGAAGGTGGACTGCTTGATAAGGAAATGTCAGCTAATGAACACTTTTCATTTGTCATCATAAAGAATGTGAAATTATACTAGATGTGGGGTTATTTTGTCAGTTAACTGCTTGATCAAAAGTTCTCAAGAATCGTTTTCTTCACAACCAATGTCTTTTTTTGTCGATAAATACTATAAATATTCAACTTTGTGCTATGCAATTAGATGAGATTCTTAAAAGAAATAGTTGAATAACCATAAAATAAGTAGATGGCATTAGTTATTGCATTAGTAGCCTTGACGATACGTGTCTTTTAGCGGTCCATATTGTTGTTGTTGCTGTTGACCATTGACGGATGAATACGGCATTTGTTGTTTTGGTGATAATGGTTGTTGGCTTTTCTCCTTTTGTAGGTAGTAATCATGCGTTACATCACTTGTTTGAAATGCATTACCTATTCATTGAAGAATAAGCGGGAAATGTGAAAACAAAATTAACTTGGTTGGAGGATTTCATCATGAGTTGACATCACTAACAGAACCATTGGAAAACCTGGCAGTATTGGACAGCTGCTTCGTCCCACTAGCTCAAGACTCCTCACAGTACGCGCCCGCCGGCAGGGTTCGAACCCAGGCCCTTCTGGTTACAGGACTAGTGAGCTCGTAGGCTCCCACCATTAAGCCAGTGGGACCCGATCCAAGAGCCAGTCCATGAATTCTAACAAGGTGGTCTTGGGGTCGAACCGCCTTGTGGTAAGTGCGCACTGATGAAGAGTCCCAAACTAGGACGAAACAGCTGCCTAGTACTCCTAGGTCTTCCAGTGGTTCTGTAACTGATGTCAACTCATGGTGAAATCCTCCAGTCAATCAGACTAAATCCCTACAAAAATCAATGCTTGAAAATTAACCAGAACAAGATGTTAGAAAGTAGTCACACAACAAGATTCATTTCCGAACAACGTAAACAGTCGGACATTTAAGTTATCCCTGAACAACAGTCAATCAAGATTTAAGGGATAAAGGGTGCCGATGATTACTGAAGGCATGCTGAATAGAAACGGAAGTTTTTATCCTGTAGTTGTTCTACTCAGACCATGGAAAAATCAAAACACCCAATTAGTCATTCGAAATATGAAATATATTTCGGGATCAGAAAAGTAGACCGATGTTGATTGTCTAACTAGTTGGTATTCATGGATAAAGGACCAAGCGTAACACGACGCTGTGTCGAAATGCGTGCTTTCTTAACCGCATACCCTTAGTTTAACAAGTTGACTTAAACAGTGAGAAGGACAGTATCAAATTTTGAGTGATGACATCCGTAGATTAATAATTTCGGGGATTTATTTACCAGTACAGAAGTAACTAAAGTGTTAAAATGCGATAGGATATTTTACTGAACTGTTAACAGTGTAGTGAGGCAGCTGACATTCAAAAGCTAAGCGCTTATTTGATATCGGACATAATGAGGCAATATTATTCATGGGAAAACATTTATAACACATTTTGTCATTCATCCAAAACAGAATTTGAAGTATTATCCATTACAAAGCTGTACAGTATACTCTTGAATACCGTGAAGGAGGAGACAGCACAGAGATTCCTGTGTGCCGACTGAAATGTAGTAAACTTTTCCACAGTCTTGGCATTCTGACTAGAACATAGGGCTTCAAGATTTAAAGTTTTAGTTGAGGTGGTATCGTTTTTACGCAATCAAGGTAATAATCTGACACCTGGCCTTTCCCCTTTCCCGGGCATACTATAAGGCAATTAGTGGCGTTCTCTGAGCTTTCGTCGTCCTTCTGGACAACATCTTCAGAGCAAGTTTTAGCATAAAACGAAATGATTTCAATTCTCCATAAATGATAGAATTGTGTCTCCTGACAACCATCTTCGTGACTGGTAGTCGATTTACATCTATGTTGATCCTCACAGTTTCATCAAAAAGTGTTTAAAATCGAGTCATATGACCAAAAAGAAAATTCATCCTACCACATATAAAAAATATCTCTGAAATAACAGCTAGAATATTAAGACTGTTTGAAACAGATATAGAACACAAGCCAGCCAGCCAGCCCGCACAATCACTTCACTCGATATTGTGCTAATCGAAAGATCCAACAAAATAAATTGTATTGACTGCAACAAACATTACATCGGTGGTGAAAGTGGGCGAATCAGAATCCAAGAACACAAATTACCTCTAAAGGGACATGATATATATTCTTTCATATCAGTCCATGCACATAATTATGGACACCGATTTGATTGGGATAATGTCGAAGTTTTAAACAGAGGAAACACCAAAAGTGCCGGAGAATTCCTAGAAGCCTAGTGCTCAAGTGAATTAGCCAACCATTAACAAACATATTAATAAAGACCAAATTTACCAACTAATGAAAGGTAAATCACATGACAAAATGTTCAAATCCCAAGTCAATAAAAAAATGATCAGTAAAGATGGAAATTGACGACCAGTCATGAAGATGGTTACCAGGAAACACAATTCCATCAGTTCATTTTATGCTAAAACTTGCGCTGAAGATGTGTGTCTGGAAGGGGGACGACAAAAGCTTCGCAATTAAAGCAACCAGCTCCTCAGAAAACACCACTAATTCCAGATCATCCACCTGAGCTACAAATCTTCTCGATTATTTCAGAATTTTATTATTATTAACGTTTGTTTCCTTCAAATGCTTATAAAAAGTTGTCTGTCTGCTAAACTGTATTCAGTACTATGTCTATGAATAACTTACACATCGATGAACACCCCTTCCATGTGACTACTCTTCACAATATAGAAAAGTATCAGTTGATGACACGATTGCAATGGTTTACTAGAAAATGTATTATTTTACATAACTGTTGAACATATTCCAAAAGAAAATGTAGCCAAGTTAAACTTTAAGCACCACTAGCTAACTACCGATAGAGTGCGACCGCACCCATGACCTTGAAACGCTCGCTGAGCAAGTTAGTGAAATCTGGCAAATAATGTTGTCATCATCAATAAATATGCGCATCGAAGTGTTATGTTTTCTATTGAATGGGATATCTGGCAAGTTTCAGCTTAGGTTTGGAAAAGATTAAGTTATGGTTTAGGTCAAGGATAACTTAGGGTTAGGTTAACCTAATAAAGGCGACATTAAAATTGGTTCGAGTTAGATTACAGTTAGTTTAGGGATATTTTCACGTTAGGTCTAGTTTTAGGAAAGATTAGGGTTATTGTTAGGTTTAGAAGACCTAGATAATTACATGCATAGAGTGTGGTTAAATTACTCTGTTGATATAAGAATAGAACTTGTGCACTGCGGTGGCAGAGTATAATTCCATTGTGAGTAAAATTTATTCTGATAAAGTTTCATAGTGTTATACAGTATTATTTACTGATGACGTTTCGAGCACAGTTTATTGACCAATAACTGTTACTGCATAACACTATGAGACTTTATCAAAGCAAATGTTACCCACAATGGAATTACACTCTGCTGATACTCCAACCTAAAACTGAGAGCTATTTTTATCACATTTGAGAGGAAGATATCCTCTGTAACACTTGTATAGAGTTTTTATACGTTTTTTTCATAAATATATGCGTTCCATGCACAAAAATACCTCCTTCACGTGATTGGTGTGTTCGAGGTCATATAAAAAGTACGGAATGTGGTGTAACTTTTCAAACAATACTTCCATGCGAAACAGGGAGATGTTTTTTAACATATGTGAGAGAAAGGTATCCTCTGCAACAGCTTTATACAGATTTTCATGCATTTTTGTCACATATATGTATATTCTATATCCAAAAATGCCTCTTTCACGTGATTAGTGCGTTCAAGGTCATTCGCTGATTGGTAGTCAGTGTTGCTTAAAGCTTAACTTTGCCGACAGTTTCCTCCACGTGTAGGACGACACCTTCTCTTCCTAAAAACGAAGTTTCTCCATTTTTCATGACGCGATATCTCTGCATTGCTGGTATCATTGAACTGTTGACACGAGGCTATTTTCAGTTTCAGCGGCTGCATCTCTCACAGGCTGTTTTAAAACCCAGTAATTACAAATATACAAATTCTGGGTTGAGGACAGATGTGACCTGGCAAAAGATGTTCCTATGAAATATTCGAGTCAGCAGCTCACCCTCCCTGATACTAACTCGTTTCAAACAAATTGCACAAGGACGGACATATCTATCAATCTAACTGCTGAAGCTATTTGAACTCATAACACTTCCACATGAGCAAATCCTTTCCTTCCTAAGCAACACTACATCCAATCAATACTGGAAAATCTTATCCACACCAAACTGCAAGCGGAACTGCGTAAGATCAGGCATTTGACTCGAATCAAGCAGAATAAAGGCTTCAACTCACGTGGATGAAACTCATTGGACCATTCAAGGTCATTCGCTGATTGGTAGTAGTTAGTGGTGCTTAAAGTTTAACTTGCCTATCAGTTCTAATCGTAACAGAAACTTAGATTTATGGGTTGTTCAAGTTACAGAAAGTACCAAATAAAAAAAGAAAACTTACCAAATGGTGTTTGATTTACATTTGTTTTACTAGATGCAATGTCAGAATACATTTTATCCTCTTCACTTGATACTTCGCTAACTGCTGGTATAGGCATAAAGTAATTTAGTACTAAAAAGGCCAACAACACTAGAGCTGAGGCAACACCATAAGACCGAAACATTGCAGGAGTTCCTAGTTCACGAAGGAAATGAAATAAAGTTGAAAAAATACGTAATTTATGAGATCTTAATAATAATAATAATAACAGTGAGTTTGTTTCAAACAGTATTGTCGATTCAATTGGGAAATTTTAGCATGTTATAGATTATTGAGTCTAATATTCTGTTGATATAGTATAGTGAGGGGAAAGACAAAAAATAACAGTTGTAACACAGCTTAAATTATGTTCACACTTATGAAAAAAATAAACAAAAACAAAAAATTGAGAGGATTGCAAATATAAGAAATACAATGACAATAAAGTTTGATGTTGTAAGTGTGGAGGAAATGGTTTATTTAGTAGTGCAAAGAAGGTTAGTTAGCTAGTTCATGCCTAACACTATTTCCATCACATAAAGTACGTGCCAAATATGGTATAGTGGAATTTTTATACTTAGACGTACGTGCATAAAGTCTTTTGAAATGACTTCTTGTTTTACCTAAGGAGACAGAAGGTTGGAGCTGCGGGTAGAGTGGGTGCTCAGAGTCTGACAAAATTCCTTTAGCAAATTTGTTGCGTGACACCAAGTGCCTAACAACGTCAACGATATGGCTTAATGGGATACCACTCGCTCTACTAACGGTCAGTTTTCAGAGTTCTACGAATTATGACATAGTCCTTTTTAAGCAATCCATGAAAGAATAAGGTTGAACAGTAAAGAAGAATAGGTAAAATACACTAGTTGATAAACTGTAAGAGGAGTGGTTGGGTTATGCCTGAGTGCCTTAACTTCTGAATGTAAAAAGTCAGACGAAATATTATTTTAGAAATCGTTAAGACATGGGAAGACCAGGATAGGTTACAAGAAAGAATTAATCCAAGATACTTAACTTCAGACTTGATTTCTATTTCATCACTATTATCAATTTTGCAACGGTCATAGGAACCAACAGCTTCATTTAACTTTCTTTTACATCGGAAACTTAAATTGACAGCATGACATTTGGAAGGATTTAGCTTAAGGCCATTAGACGAAGACCATTTGCTGACTCCTGATAGAAAGCTGTTTGTCTTAGTACAGTCTAGCTGAGAGTTAACAGACATCGAAATAGTTAGGTCGTCCGCATACTTAAAAAGTTCATTTCATCATGAGAGTGAGGCAAGTCATGCAAGAAGAAAGAAAACAGAAAAGGAGAAAGGACAGTGATTTGAGGGACACCAGCCTCAGTAAGCAGCGAGGTGTACGGCTTCCCCTGGCATACTGTGTACTGCATTCTTCCTGAGAAATAAGAATGCAACCATTTGACAACCCAACAGTAAATTTGAGTTTCAGCAAGCTTGTTTAACAAAATGTCCCTAGGTACTGAGTCAAAAGCAGATGTGCAGCGAACAAATTTAGCCCCCTTGTCTAAGCTGGAGAGAATGTTATGATGCAAGACTGCAGCTGGAGCTAAAGTACTTCTACTTATGAGTACTACCAGTAATTGTAAGGTGAATACTTAGTTAATTTAGTGGGTATATATTACACAGTGAAATGATATTGCGTATTGAGTGGTATTCACAACTTAATTTATTCTTTGAAAACTTATACATCAAATTAAAGCAAGAAACAAACAAAATCCCAACAAAAACAACTACTTGAAAATTGACCTGATGCACACTAGCGACTGGGGTTCTAGAGGGAAGCCTTGACAAGTAGGGTACAGCAGGCTGAAGATGAGGACAGTTACTCATCGAAGAAGACATTGCGAAGTGGTCGCAGAAGTGAGAACTCATGGAGTGGTTATTGGATGGAGTGTCAGTGGCTTAATGGTCTACGAGCTCACCCACCTTGTAACCAGAAGGTTCTGGGTTAGAACCTCAGTAGGTTGGGTGCATGCTGATGAAGAGTCCCAAACTAGGCTGACGAAACAGCTGTCCAATACTGCTAGGTTTTCTAATCGTTCTGTAACTGATGTCAACTCATAATGAAATCCTCTAAAGAATCAAAAAATCCCTACAAAAATCAATACCAGAAACATTATTGTTGATTAAATCCCTCTTTATGTCCTACATTAATATTATTACTATTATTATTGCTGTGTTCACACTATATTCAGAGCAATTGGCTGTTGAGAATAGTAAGGCTTTCAGAACACCGAATGGTTAACGTTAAAGGATGTTTCATACAGTCTGAAACTTTATTTTATAGTTCTTATTCTTTTGTTTCGTTGTAAATGTAGAAGAACAATCCTGATATCTGAAAAAGGTGTTCAATCATTTTTCTTGGATTTATTCTAAGTAGATTCGACAGGTTAAGCTTATTAAATCAACCTATCTATTAAACCTGTTAAGTTAGGTTTCAGGACTGTCAATATAAGCATAAAAGTTGGGCACTGTGATGGTAGAGTATAACTCCATTATGGATAAAATTTGTTATTTTGATAAAATCACACAGTGTGTTGTTATACAGTAAGTAATATTTACTGATGACACCACGTTTCGAGCACAAATTATCATTGCCACTCATAATCATAGCAAGTCACTCACTCACACAACTTTCTTGCTTCATTTATGTACATGAGTAAAAATTGATGCGATTAGACGTTTGAATTAATAAAATCAACAGTATAAGACAAAGTACATTCAGAAATCATATTAGTGTTATCGATGAAATACAATCAGATGGGAGATAAGAAGTTTTCATAGTAAAATAAATAAATAATTTGTTTGAATGTTATAATGTGAATTGAATTGAATACATTTTAACATTATTTATTATCCTCCTCTGATTTGACTGGTGGTAATATTATCTTCCATATCTCTGGTATTTGCGTTGAGTCACTTCTATTGCATGTGTTGTGTTGTGTTGTGTTGGTTGTAGACTCGATGAACAAGGATTCAGTAACCAATCTCTCTCCACCTATCGACATTACCTCTTAGAATTTTGACTCTGTCCAACACACCCCATTGTGTGATTGTGTGTTAATGCATGCAATACAATCGCTGAGCTTCTTTCTAAATTACTTATCTTCATGAGTGGGATCAATCATTCTGACCTTAGCTAAATTCTTATGTTCTGACAGGCAATCTCACTACTCCTGATCTACTAGTCTGACCTATGTAGTTGACCTCACAGTCATTGCAAGGTATTTTGTAAATTATATTATTTTGTTTAACTTGGTCAACCTACAGGGTCCTTTGACCTACAGATCTTGTCCTACCTGAGTGAGTTTGTAGGTTTAAATGCCATCCTAATTCCTGATTTATTAAGAATCGTAAGTAGGGTCTCAGATGTCCCCTTCCGCCTTATATGGTAAAACTACTGTAGATGCCTTACATTCTCGCTTAATTATGTCATCATTACTAGTTTTACCATTGATTATTTTTATTTTACTTTTTACCGTTCTTGATATTCCTAATGAATTTTACAGGATAGTTGGTTATTTAACACTAGGTCCTCTTCTTCTATCTGTTTCATTTTATCGTTTAGGATTATCATTTTGTGTAAATGCGTGCTGTGCCATGACTGAGTTATACTCTATGTTCATCAACCTAATGAGATTTATTAAGCTAAATTTATGCTCCGATAATTTGATGAATCTATGTCTACTACTTTAGTCTTTGTATCTCATCTACATTCATTGAATAGTGCGGGCTCCATAGGATATTTTAGATGATAATTTTGGTTTTAATTCATACTGTGCTCATAATCTTAAGTAATGTTGCTTAATTTCCTTCCTTATACAAAGACGCTGAATGTTTTCAGCTTGCTCTCCTTGGTGCCGATGTTTTTAATTACCCCTCTGGTATTTGTTTCTTAAGTAGTGGTGGTCGCTTCAGCTCACAATAAAAAGGCTTTTTTATGTTTTTATCCGCCCTTCTCCTCCCCCCGCCCCACTAATCTTGTTATCAAGCAATAATGGTTGGTTGATGGGATTGATTTTCACCTAATAACACCAATCAATCTTGTGTATCATCTTGTTACAATGATCGTTTCATTCTTAACATTTTAACTTATCATATATGCTTCCAGAAAGATTAATTTGGGCTTCTTCCATATTTCTAACTTCGTGTTGTAGGTTACCTATTTTGCTGGTTTGTTAACTTCCCCTGTTGCCTAAACATTCTATTAAGTCTACTTTTACTGTTGTGGGAGCAATATTGGTTCATATATTTGTGTTTGGCTTCAGTGGTTCACCGGTAGGACGGTCGCCAACCATGCATGTGGTTTGGGATTCGATTCCCGGCCGACTCACTTCTAAACCTCTCTAAGCTGGTATTAAGGCCGGTAAAGCGGGAAGGTGAGGCGTCAGGTTAACAACCTCACCCCGTGAAAAATAATAAATCACTGCTACTGAAACCTCAAAGCTCTAGCTTGATGTCCCCTATGTTCCATTTGGAACGTAAAGGAATAAAAAACAAAATATTTGTATTCCTAAAGAAACAGGAAAAATATGAATACTAATCTTGGTTCCTTTAGTGTGACTTCCTAAAGAAGTAGCTCTGTATACAACATGTCGATTCACATCGAAAACCCTTCAATCAACGTATATTCAATGAAAATGGTGAACTTTGTTGAATCACCAAAATGAAAAAAAACATGACTTACCATAACTTGATATTACAAGTCCACCAAATATAGCGCCTAAACCACGTCCCAATCCATAATGAATAGCCCGTAAGAATCCAAGTGTTGATGAACGAAATTCTGGTTGAAATGCTTGCATAATATACGAGCAACATGCTACCCATACACCAGCATGTGTGAGACCTAAATATATATAATTAAATATTCAATATGAATAGTTTTCTAAACTCCTGTTAGATGTACATTGAACAAATGATTAGTTAGTTAAATCACACAGGGATAGTTCTGATAAGCACCAGCGATCACTCAAATGAAGACCTACTCTCATCAGGTATTAGATGAAGATAAATTGTATAAGTAACTGAAATCATTGGAAAATGAGTGAGATTTTTAAGGGTAAATGGATATTTATTTCTTGCTCACTTGTGGCTTCCCAGTGTAACAACAGAAGCACAAGGGCCAGGCAACAGTTCGTTATTGAGAAAATCAACAGATATTGATAGATTTTTATGTACATTATTATTAGCATTATTGTTAGCAGAGAAGCAACGTCTTCTGATTGGTTGTTTTCCTGCTCAAGGTTATTCTGTCATCTCTTTGTTGCCGTTTTCTTAGGCAGTCCGTTGATATATATCTGCTAATCATACCCGCCCACGCATAGTCTACTGTGATTGGTTGTTGAGTTACTCTTTGTTTTTGTTCTCATGACCCAGATTTGGGACGTAAACATTGACATAGATTGTTGTCTACTGATTTCGCCTAACAGACAGCTCTCACCACATTAGTAGTACCCACTTATAGCCCTATGAGGAAATGACTCTTAAATCGTTGTATCTAATGGCGTACTTCCTATCAATCAACTAATGGGTTTCATTTCAATAGGTACGCCCTTCTTTCAAGCTTTGAGTACCCTCATGTAATTATGTCAGCAGTCTTTAGAACAGTTTAGATAAAAAGATGAATCATTCATCACTAGTTTACTTAGTTTATTAATGAATTCCGATTCGAAGACATATTATTATCAGCTTTCATTTTTGATGATGAATGGAATGCCTATGTGAAAGTTCTCCTGAAAAAAATATGATAACATTTGAGAGGACCAACAGAACTCAGTAAATATTTAACAGTTGTTTACAATCACAGACAGAATCCATTGAAAGTAATTTGGTGAATGTTGTCTAGCAGAGGAATGCAGGATGGGTGTTTCGTCCAATTTGGGACTCCTCAGCTGCTATTTTGACTGATTGACGCTCCTCCCATCGAGACACAAACACCGTTTCAAACATCAAGGCATTATCCACTAGACGACTTAGGCCACGAAATTCATCTCTTGTGCAAGAGGCATCAGTTATTACTGATTTTCCCATTGACTGACTTGGTCTTTGCTGACATATTGGCTCCTAGTAGGGACACCTCGATGATATGTCGTGGTCCAAGTGGTTTAGTAGATAACGCCTTGACGTTTGAAACGAAGGATACTAGGTTCGAGTCTCAGTGGGAATACCATCACTTATTGGAATTTGCAGGTATATACGGTTGAAGAGTCTCAAACGAGACGAAATGTGCATCCTGGGTTCTAGTGTTAGTCATCATCCACCAGATAACATAATAATAATCTTTAGACATCGTCTAAGCTTCTTTTGTAGGAGATGACAGGCCAAAAGTGGCCAAACGTTCCAACCTATTCATTCGACAGGAAAAATGAATTTAACTTGGAACAAAGAATCCAGTGAAATGTGAATTCTTGATACATAAAACTGATGTCAAATGAAACTGTTGCCAGAGGTGCGTATTACAAAGTATAATTGATGTTAACCTTTGGTAGTTACAGAATGGTAGACAAGTTGATTAAACTTCACTATCTTGTTATCAGAAAAGCCGATGAATTCTCAATCATTTACGGATCTGTGCAAGCTATTTTAATACTTAGATAAACAAAATTTTGTTTGCACAGTACAGTATTCTGAAAGAAGTTTTAAACCTAAAATCTGGTATTTTGTCTACAGCATGGTTTTACAAGGGAAAAAAGAAGTGTGTACGAAGCTCTATTCTAGAACACCTGATCGACTCAAGTCACTCTACCAACCCCGCACATGATTTTGAGACCATCTACGGAATTCATGCTAACTTGCCCACCGCGTTTTCTTCGTTACACACTTCTAAAGACAACGGAGGCCTTGACCATTCATGACTTTAAACCAGACCTCTGTGTACAAAAGAAGTATGTACAACCCCTAATCTTGTCTTCGGTGTAGAGGGATAGACATTTATTTATTTATGTATTTTGTTTATTTTGTTGATCTATGTACCTTTCGATTATTACTACGATTATTATTATAGTTATTACTATTCTCACTCTGAATTGTTTCCACTTGTCCCACTTGTCATTATAAATCCAAAATTGTTATTTTTCTTTATTTTTACAATATTGAATTGTATAGTATCAAATTTCACACCATATTATGTAACATTTTATATTCGCCTACTAGTCCTGTAATTATGCACTCTTTTCTAACGTATATACACCTTATGTATTATTCTATATATGACAGTTTTAAACCTTAAGACTGGTATTCTATCTACATAGCATGTAACATCAGTTTCAGCGTTGAAAGGCATCGATAGCTCTGTGTGAAAACGGGAATTCAGTCCTACAGAACACATGCACTATCAGAGTATTTACAACCTGCACTGTATATTATTCATAATGAAATAAAAATGTACAACTTTTGTTTGTTAGTGGCATAATTACCCACAAGATATTTTATTGTAGGAAGCCATCAGCCAGTTGTAATTACTAACTAAGTATTACACTGTTCTACTCAACACGATTACCGCAGAAATGTTAGAATTTGTGGTGTAAGCAGCCAGATACAAGCTTTCGATTAAGCAGAGAAGGTTTCAAGCTTATTATTAATTCCTTTAATTCCTAGAGGAACATAGGGCTTCAGCTGCACGTGTCCATTGCGTTTGATTCTCTGCTAAAGTTTTCACCTGGTTCCAGGTCTGCCCACACTTGGACGACCAACTCGCCGCCTCCCATTCGATAGGGTTTCACTCGAGCGATGGACTGGCGTGTGATGTCACTCACTTGGTGGTTTGTTTTCTCAGAGTATGGCCAATCCACCTGCATTTCTTCCTGCAGATTTGTTGCACAGTCGGTTCCTGGTTGGTTCGCTCCCAGAGATCTCTGTTGTTGATCTTTTCTGGCCATCTGATCTTGAGTAGTATTGAGCGAAGACAGCTGTTGATGAAGGTCTGTAGTTTGTTTGAGGTGCTCTTTATGATGCGCCAAGTCTCTGATCCGTATAGTAGCACTGACTGACTTCACATTGGAGTTGAAAATCCTGATGTTTTATTTCATGGTGAGTATTGTTGACTTACACAGACTTGTGAGTAATGAAAGCTTGTCTTGCTTTTCCGATTCTTGCTTTTATATCCTCATCATGTCCGTCTGCCTGTAGTTGAAACGATGCTTCCCAGGTAGGTAAAAGAGGTTGTTTCTTTCAGGCTCCTCCCATTTATGCTGATCGTTGTCTGTTGTTGTTGTTCTTGTCCAGGAATCTTCATTACCTCTGTTTTCTCTATGTTCACCTGAAGGCTTATCTTCTCTGGATGCTTCTTCTGCCAACTTGTTGCTTTTCGCCTGCATATCTTCCAGTTTGTGGGAAATCAGACATAAATCATCGCCGAAGTCTAGATCCTCCAAATTTTTTGTGCAGGTCCATTTTATGACTGTTTCTTCGCTGCCCGCTGTGGTCTTTTCAAGCTTATGTTTATCCTTTTCTAATAAATACCTGTGTCTGTCTAATGACTTCTTGAACGAGTTAACTGACGTCACAGAAATCACTTTTCTTAGGAGTCAGTTCCAATAGTCAGTAGGAGATAATGCGTATTGGTTAGATTATTCAATGAAATTCACTGAGGTGATTACAAATGCATTGGCAACCGCAAGGCAGCTCGTTTCTCTAGTTAATCGTATATTGTTGTAGTTATGAATCGCCATGATTATAATAATAAAATCTCAGTGATCCTTTCTGATCAAATGAAATTCGCCAAACCCGATGACGAAAAGAACAAGACACACACCTAATTGAAAATCAACTGGCTGATGTCTGAAATAACATGAGGAATAAGTCAGTAATCTCGTCAGATATATATGAACGCATCCTACCAGTAGGCTCCATAATACAACGTTTGTATGGACTACCTAAAATTCACAAGAGAGGATTACCCTTTCGTCCAATTCTAGATATGGCGGGTTCTCCTTATCACAGAATTGCTCAGTGGTTAGCTGACATACTGGAACCAGTTAGAAGGCAAATGTCTAAGTTTTCCATTGATGAGACGTTTAAGTGTATTGAGAGTATTAAAGATTTTAATGTCTCGGACAAAGTCATGTTTTCATTAGACGTGACTTCGCTATTTACCAGTGTACCTCTCATGGAAACTGTTTGCTATACATGTGATTATATTGATACAAATAGTTTACAAATAGGGTTCCCGACAGTCCACCTGAAAGAACTTTTATTGAGATACACGTTGAATGTTCAGTTCACCTTGAATAATGAAATTTTTAAACAGAGAGATGGCAATGCCAGGGGATCACCACTGGGTCCTTTGCTGGCTGGCTGACTGCTTTATAGCAAGGCTTGAAAACTCTCAACTTAGTCAACTTAGTCGTTAATTTTCACATTTACAGAAGATACGTTGACGTAAGTTTCGTTATCTGCGATGATAACGCAATTATTGATGATGTCTTGTCTGCTTTCAACAAATGCCATCCTTCTTTATAATTCATCATAGAAAAGGAATCTGAACTAAGTATTCCGTTTCTTGATGTGTGCCTTAATAGACGTAATGACGGACCTCTCAAAAGACCCATCCACCGGAAACGGACATGGAACGGACAACTAACTAATTTTTACAGTTGGGTGACTACTTTCAGGAAAACGAACCTAATTCATTCACTCTGCTTTACGATTAGAAACATCTGTAGTTCTGATTGCGTTGACTCAAAACTTGACTTCCTACCCGAACCAATTTATTGACAGTAACACGAAAGATAAGCAGTCAAAACTGGTCACTGACTCAATTCCAAAGAAAACCCCATTCGTGAACTTAGAATTCAAAGGTGATCAAGCTTCAGATATGCTCAGAAACCGTCTCTCTAAATCAGTCAA